TGTGCTTTGCAGGAGCATTAGTGGCTAATAATTGTTGCAGTAGCAGTGAGAGTACTCCAAGAACAAAACCAGTTGGGAAAACAGCTGAGAAAGGGAATCATGGCCAATCAATGAGAGGTGAGGGTTTCATTTCATTTATTCAACATTGTAATCTGCACTGCCCTGTTTTAATGCTGGTATTGATATTTGAACCTATAAATACTTGATTCACGCACAATACTGTAGTTAGGCTAAAATGCAGTTCTTGTGGATAAAGGTCAAATGCTTTAGCCAAATAGATATTGTGGTCAAATACGGCAGCCCTCTAAACTTTAAGTTTGTGCATGCTCAAGCATGCATGTTGATATCCTACTGTAGACATGTCTGTACCTTGAATTCATCAGCAATGCATGTCTATCATTCAATGAGAATGTTTTAAGCAGTCACCTTGAATTTAGACCTTTTTGCATTTTTAAATACATGTTGTCCTTTCATTTCCCATTTACTCTCTAGACTTCTATTTTTTAATGTTTTGTTTTAACAACAGAGCCTTGATGCTAGTTGTTATTAGCTTCATGTTTCATTTGCAGATACCTTATGGTACTCACACTGCCCTTTTGTTTGCAGTGTTGCCTGACTTTGCTCAGGTATATGGCTTCATTGGTAGTGTCTTTGACCCAAATGTTACTGGTCATTTGCGTAGTCTTAAGAAAATGGACCGTATAGATGTTGAAACGGTATGTTCTTGAACCCTACTATTTTTTTTTTATCTATTGTTATAAGTTTATTGTGCACTACATCTCTAACAATTTTACAATTTGGAAGTTCATTTATTTTTCTTTCTGTTTTTTTTTTTTTTGCAGGTGCTATTGCTGATGAGAAACCTTGCAATCAATCTTACCAGCCCCAGTTTTGAGGAAGAGGTGAGTGCCGTTTCAGAAAAGCAATTATGTTTATTGATTGCTGCCTTTCACCAGCTCAGGTTTTTATTATATCATGCATTTGTGTTGGGTAATGCACTTAAATCTGAAACATTTTACCACACGAACAATATCTTGTGTTGAATGAGGCAATGATCTCTTTTTAAATCATATAGCAAGGTGGCCTTTCGTGTTTAAAGTTCTGTGGCCTTTCCTGTTTTCAGCTTTGTTGGGAGCTAATGTAACCTAATAGTATACAAGATAAAGCATGTCCAAGAAAGAAAATTGCTAGCACGAATAATTGACCATAGGTATGCAGACCAAGTTCAGTTAGTGGGTCTCTCCACACATTCAATTTCCTTCCTTTTCCATAACTGGCTGGTTGTTGAGATGGACGACCAGCTGATCTTTTGCAAATGCCCAAGTCCTGTTTTGTCACCAGTAACTTTTTTTCCTATGATGCAGTTCTCCAAAAGCGGTGCTGTATGAAAACCATATAGTTCAATTTTACTTGTATTTTGACATGCTCTATTCTATTAATGTAGAGAAAGTTGCTCTCTTCCAATGAGATCGACTTGGAAGCCATGGGTGTAAACAAGAATGTTGATCAACCAATGGATGTTGCTTAAATTTGGTTGGGAAACAAGAGAAGACAATGATCCAGCTTGGTTGCATGGGCTTCATGTTTGTTTTTCAGGACAACTATTGCCGACTCTTATTCGTTGGTATGCCAGGAAAAAAATGGCGATTAGAAAGCCTTAATGCCAGCTATTAAAGGCATCTGCTACAGTTTTTTGTTCCAGCTTCTCCTGTTTGTGAGGCCATCAATTGCAGATTTTGTAACTTTGCCCTCTTCGTACGTTTATATTGGAAAGAGGAAATCCCTAATGATGTATAATAGTTCAGGAGTGTATAGTGATCTTAGCATGTATAGATGCCTAATCACTCTAGTTTTGACTCAACATGTAAACTGGGCATTGCAAATGATTATGTATATCACCTGTAATCCATCTTTCTTTAAAAACACTGCTGTTTCTTGCACAAGGGGGTATTCATGTATTGTCTGGCTCTAGGCTTTACCTTTCATTAAGTTGTATCCAATACTTGAAAAATCAAAAGATCTTTTTTACCTATTCATTTCAAAAGGAAAGCTTTGCCACTCGTGTTCCATCTGTGCCTGGCACCTATGATGGACTCCTTTCCTTTTAACTTGTGTCCTGATGTTCTCCCGTTCATGTGGGAGATAGCTAGAGGGTTGAGAATCTTTATGAATAGATGAGATTGAGATTTTAAAATATAATTTATAAATTTTAAAATATAATTTATATTATTTTTTAATTCGAATCACGACAGATACAGACAGTTGATATTCAGTAGTAGACCAAAGTCTGCAATGAAAAAAAGTGCGACAGATACAGACAGTTGATATTCAGTAATAGACCAAAGTCTGCAATGAAAAAAAGTGTCTTGATGATTAAGAAGCATGTTCAATGAACTAGTGCTATCCTAACTACCCCTTTCTTTCTGAAACATTCTTACTTCCTGTTATCATTATTTTGTAAAATCTGGTATTTTTCTTGAATATCTTTTTCGCACTCCTTGTTCTGCTCCGCTTCTCTCCGGTGTCTGTCTATGAACCACGTATTACAGCATAATCTATTCCTAAAAAAATCTTCATGGTGTCTTGCAGTAATTAGCGACCAAATTGTCGAGCATGCTCTGTCCATGCCCAACCAAGATGATGTGGTTGACTATATGTTCCATCTCAACTTCACTCTATCATATACCTGTGAGTCACAGATTACAACATAATCTATCCTAAAGAAATCTTCTTACTAGTCTGAGTTTCGACTACGATGGTTGGAGATACAAGAATGAGATGATGTCTTGCAGTAATGATTGACCAAATTGTTGAACATTCCCTGCACATGCCCAACCAGGATGCATTTGTTAGACCATATGCAAGCCTCTGTTTTTATGGAAGCTTATTACTGTTTATCTTGTGTTTTTAAATAATCATCTCAATTCAAAATATATATTATTAAATGAATTTTAAGAATAATTTTATATTTTTTTAAGTGAGTTTTTAAGTTCTAAACTTGTATAAATATATTTTATATTTAATTTTATTAAAAAAATAAAGTAATAAAAAATTCAAACTTATAACTACTTAACTTGCATAAATTCACAATATAAGTTAACAAGATTTTAATATCATATTAAAAAATTAATTTAAAATGAAAAATTAAATGTTTACAGTTTATTTGAATTAATAAAGAATTAAATTCAATCCCACGAATGATTTGAAAACGATAACCTATTCTTTCTCCACAAGCTAGCTGGGTTTTGAAATCCTTCTTCAAAACAATGGACAGAGCTAATTCTAGACCAAGAAACCTCAGAAGAATAGTCCTGTCGAATTATGAAGAATCTTTTAGAGCAATGGGGCATTGACTCCTTTAGAAGAGCTATTTGAAGTTGAAACCTTTCCATGTTTGGCCGAAGAACAAATTCCGACCAAACCAGCTCTGCGAGACAGCCCTGGACAAATAATTTGTGTTTCTTACTTCCTTTCTCGCCGGGTAATTTTCTTTAAATCATAGGCGTTTGCACCAGATGGTTTTAATCCACCTTCTATTCAGTTTCAACCCTTCAGGAGGTCATGGAACAAGTTCGGTGATCTTTTTTGGTATGTGTTCTAGGTGAGATAAAAAAATGTTTTTATATTACCTTCTTACACTTTAGAACATTACAAGAAGAGCAAAGGAATTAGAACACAACGTTGTATAGAGTAATTTCCAAGGTTTACGAACACGTACACAGCATGGCAACAATTTGTTTGAAGTTCGTTGAATAAAATGAGATCTCAATCCTCGATTTATTAAATACAGGAGTATATAAAAAGATAAAAAAATTATTTTTAATCAATTAAAATTAACATCATAAATTTATAATCCTGATAATTGAAATTGAGTTAAATTTATAATTTTAATAATTAAAATTAAATTAACTGAACTATCCTATTAAATCTATAATTCAAGTTATGAGATTAAAATAATATTATAAAAAATAAAAAAAATTCTATAATTTATTTTATTTTAAATATCAACTAATATTAATTTTTTAAACTTGTAATCTAAGTTAATAGACTTAAAACATCATATTTAAAAAAATTATAAAGCCTAATTTTTAATTAACTAATTTTAAAAGATGAGTTTGAAAAAATAATTTTATTATAAAAAAATTCAAAATAAAAATTAACAATTAAAAAATTGAGGATCAGAATTGTAATAGAAAATAAAGTTTATATTTTATTGAAAGGTGAAATTATAAAAAATTAATTTAAAAAAAATTAAAAAATTAATTAAAAAATGATGATAAAAATTGAAATATAAAATTAAAATAATTTTTTTATTGGATGATGAAATAAATAAATAAATAAATAAATAAAAAATAAAAATATTTTTTATTGGATGATGAAATTGAAATGAAAAATAATTTTAATAAAAATAAGGATCAAATTGATAAAAATAATATACCATATATTTAGATTGAATGATGAAATTAAAAATAAATAAAACTTTTATAAAAGAGTTAAAGAAAAAAAAAAAAAAAAATTAATAATAATAATAATAATAATTAAAAATGAATTTAAAAACAAATAAAATATTTTTTAAAAATTAAGATTAGATATTAAAAATAAAAAAATAAAGACTGAATTCTAAATGATCATTTAAAAAAAAGAGGGGAAAAAAAACCCTTACCAGTTACCACCTACAAATTATCCACCCAACACACAAAATAATAATAATAATAATAAAATGCAATGATATTTTATACGGCACGGTGAAAATTGTTTTTTGAACAACAGAAAGCATCACATCTGCCGACCTCAAAGCGCGGCGGCCACCTCCACATAAGTCATAACTGCCTTTTATTTTTTATTTTTAAATTAATTTGGTTTCAATAAAAAGAAAGAAAAGAAAATTGGACTTGAGCTAGGCCCATAGTAGACCCACGTAAAAGTTAATTAATCTCAAATGAAATCCGGGCTACCTGTTTCCCCCAGCCCAGAACTAAACCCATATATATATTACGGTATCGTTTTCTTTAGGGTTTTGAAGTCCTCCTTAGCATCCTATCGAAAGAAGAGAGCTCTCCTCTCATCTCTGTACCAAAGCACAACACGGGGCTTGCATTTGAGCAACCATGGTAACCCCCTCTATCTCTTCCTCTCTACTTCTAATAGACAAAAAGATAGAAAGATACTGACTTTTTTATGCTGTCTATCACTGTTTCAGATTATTTCAGAGAAGAACAGAAGAGAAATCTCGAAGTACCTCTTTCAAGGTCTTGTCTTTTTCTGCTATAGATCTATTTTTAGTTATCTAGAAAGAAAACCCATGAAGGATCTTTTGTATTTTTTATGGTTTTTGGAATATTCACTTCTAGTTGTGGGTTTTGAAGAATTGGGGTTAATGTTCACAGCTTGTGATCATACAGAGCTGATTTAATAACATTGAGTTCTTCTAATAACATGGATGTCAATTAGAAAAGCCATTGAGTTATAGGGTACATTCTCTTTTTGTCCAAAGCAGTAGTCTTTAGCTGATTTTGTTCTTATTGCATTGATAATTCAAGTGAGATGCAGTCAGTATTATCATACTTCAGCTAGTTCCTCTTTAGGTGTAGGTTTTAATGGGTTTTTGTCCTGGTAGTTGGTATACAAAATTAAGACTATGCTGAGTATCTTGGTCATTCTTGCTTTGTTTTGGATATGATCAGTTATTCGGAATGGTGAAGTTTTGTTATTTTTTCAAATTATCCAAATGGGGCTAGTGAGGTTTAGTTTTATCTTATTTGTTTCCCGATTCTGCAGAGGGAGTTTGCTATGCAAAAAAAGATTACAATCTTGCAAAGCACCCGGAGATTGATGTTCCCAATCTCCAGGTTATTAAGCTCATGCAGAGCTTCAAATCCAAGGAATATGTTCGCGAGACATTTGCATGGATGTACTACTACTGGTATCTTACTAATGATGGAATTGAGTTCTTGAGGACTTACCTGAATCTTCCATCAGAAATTGTTCCTGCTACCTTGAAAAAACAGGCAAAGCCTGCTGGTGGTCGCCCATTTGGTGGTCCACCTGGTGACCGTCCCCGGTAATTTTAATTTATGTTGACAATTTAGTGATTTGAGTGTTCTCATCATCCTTGATTTTTTAGAATATACTAATTTGCATGTGGTGTTTGCTTGGATTTCTAGAGGCCCACCTCGCTTTGAGGGAGACCGTCCAAGATTTGGTGACCGTGATGGTTATCGTGGGGGCCCACGAGGGGGTGAAGGTGGTGAGAAGGGAGGAGCTCCAGCAGATTACCAGCCTGCATTTAGGGTAATTTCGCTTTAATACAATTACCCTAAATGTTAATACCCATTAGAGACAACTGCCAGTGTCTTCTTGTATATTCACTTCTAATTCTATTCCATGTTTGGATCTTCCAGGGCTCTGGTGGAAGGCCTGGCTTTGGTCGTGGAGGAGGAGGTTATGGTGCTGCTGGTCAAACTAGTTCTCCTGACTTTGCTTGAAGGTGTTGCTAGTCTTTTACAGTTTTGCTGTTTTTACTAGATGTAGCAGTTGTGCCCTTGTTCAACTCCTTAGCAAGTTGATCCTTGAGACTAGAAAACAGATCCTGTTTTGAAGTTCTTATTTAAAATTTGCTATTTGATGAAATGGAACTCCGATTTTTCTGTTTTGCTATCTATTGATTGCTTGATTTACTGTGGCTGTTTTCTTATCCAGAGGGCATGAATTGCAAGTGAGACTTGTCATTTAGGTGTTAGGTACACGGTATAACTTTGGGGGTTATGTTACTGCGTTCTTTGATGCAGGGGCTCTGGTATTGCCATCCTGAAAAACCAGCTCAAAGGGTCTGCATGTTCTAGTGCTCATAACTCAGTGCCCAGCAAACAAAGGCTGTTGTCTAAGTTTGCCTGAGTCTCTGGTGCCAATATGTAGATGAGCTTAAAATTTTAAAGTGTTCGCTAGATTAGTTTTGCGTGAAGTTTACCATCACATCTTTTCTACATCCAAGCTCTTGCAGGTTTCTGGCAAGGCGTAAATCGTCTAACTTCAGCCCGCGTTAAATAGTGGCCATGTTTTGAATATCAGCCCTAATTAAAATTAGGTTTCTAATTTTAGTCCTTTACATTAAACTGCAGTCATACAGTTCTCGATATGAAGCAAGGTTTTAGGATTGGTATGATCCTCCTAATCTGTGATGTTACTGAGCAACACATCAGCTACCCCCGACTAAAAATTCTCTTCACTAGACAAGCTCAGTGGCAGCATTAAAAAAAAACAAAAAAAGAAAACTAGAAGAGAAGGAGAAAACATTGTTCACCAAGATTGTTTACCTAGTTTTGATTGAGGACGGGAATAGTGTTATCTCCTTACTTTTTTGCCTTAAAAAATAGCCAATTATTTAGGGGTAAAATAGTTTTGTTTGAGAACAATTTTGATGTTCTAAAATTGATTCGGAGCAAGATAAGTATTTTCTGTTTTAATTGTATAATAAATCTACACCATTATCTTTAAAAAAATTAATTTTTAGCTTGGTTATTTTTGCATTTTTTATATTAAACAAAACACATAAAAAAAATCTATCTATCCTGGGAATGAAAATAAAAAAGAAGGCTGACAATGGGGTCCTTTTTGCAATTTTAAATTTTGTTGCACTGTTAAAAAATCCCAGTGTCCTTGATATCAAATAATTTAACTCTTAAATTAAATGGTATTTTTGTTATTTTGTTGTTGTAGTTGTATATATATATATATATATATATATATAACACTACTGAGTTCAGATAACTGGGTGAGGTCGTTTAAGTATTGATTGAGGAGGCTGAAATTGTTGTTCCAAGATTGCTTCCGATGTGCCTGGACAAGCGAGCATTTCTTTTTTATTCTCATTTCTTTCATTTCTTTTTCTCAGTTTCTATGTCTGCCCTTCTGTTATCTCCTTTCCTCAGTTTTTGCATCTGCCATATAATGTTTTAGATCTTTCTTTTATATTTATTTAATTGGAGATTTATTTTTCTTAAGCTTTTTGTATCCTATGTTTTATCAATTTTTTTATTTGATTGGATTCTCTTAGATCTTTTTATTTATTAAGTTTATTTTTATAGATAAATTTTATTAGTTGAATATAATTGATTAGTTGAATATTCAATTTTATTAGTTTATCAATTTTATCCTTGTAGTTTCCTTCTCCTTCCATGTATAATATTGATGGTTTATATGCTTTAGTTAATAGCTTTTATTTATTTATTTACAAATAATATCATTACCTAACTTTTATTTATTTATTTAAAAACAATACCATTACCAAAACATCCATCAATATTTGTTTTAATTAATTGTTACCAAATATTTTTTGTATGGTACGTTTTTTATTGTTGTCTTTGACTTAAATTTATTTACCATCACCTAAACATCCATCAATATTTGTTCATTGTTGTCTTTGACTTAAATTTATTTATTTACAAATAATACCATTACCTCAACATCCATCAATATTTGTTCTATATTTGTTTTAGTTAATTGTTACCCAATATTTTTTGTATGGTTTCTTTTTTGTTTTTTATTGTTGTACATCCATTTTAATTAATTGTTACCAAATATTTTTTGTATGGTACGTTTTTTATTGTTGTCTTTGACTTAAATTTATTTACCATTACCTAAACATCCATCAACATTTGTTCATTGTTGTCTTTGACTTAAATTTATTTATTTTCAAATAATACCATTACCTAAACATCCATCAATATTTGTTCCATATTTGTTTTAGTTAATTGTTACCCAATATTTTTTGTATGGTTTCTTTTTTGTTTTTTATTGTTGTCTTTGACTTAAGTCATATTATTACATTACTCGCTCCTATTTAATTCAATTAAGTTAATAGCTTTTATCTATTTATTTACAAATAATACCATAACCTAAACATCCGTGTATATTAATTTGTTTTTTGGAAAAGCATGGCATAGCACCTCACAGGTCTAGCATGAGACCATTACTAATGGCATGAGCCTAATCTGGTTCCCTCCATAACCTATGAGGCTATGACCTCCCTTTCAGGGACAAGGGTTTCTAGATCAAATGGGGGATTAGGCCGAACGGGTTCCAGCAGCACATCCAAATACGAGACATTCCATGTTTCATCATTGTCACAACCGCTGTGAACATGCATTGCTACCTGTTCTGGAAGGTTCAAAGTGATGACAACGGAAACCAGCTGGAAAACTGGAAGGTCAGGCCATCCAGCAAGAGCAGATGCATGCCAATCGAGTGGAAGTAACCATAGCTGTCAAATCCAATCAGGCTAGGCTTGTATCAAGGGCCAATATTTATGTTGAGACTTCTATTTTTCAATTCTTATCTGTCAAGCTAGGACTCACCCCTGTGTAGCCAAAAGTAAGTTCGGAATCAACCATCTGGTTACGTGAATCTAACAACATTCATTTTCGAAACAAGAGCCCAGCACAGATCAGGATGCATAATTTGATACAGCACAATCTATTGATCTTGTGACCACACACTACATAATGGCAGAAACTATTTGCAGACACTCACGAAGGACCACCTCTCTTCCAAATACACAACAAACACAAGCCTTCAGGAAAACAAAACCGATTCGCGAGTATTACATGAAACACAAGCCTTAAAGGAGGACAAAACCAATTCGCAAGTATTATCACATGACAACAAGCTGGGAGCTTAGTCCACCTCCTCCATCTTGCTCTCCTCAGCGCCGTCTTCCTCCAGGGCAGGCATGTCAGTATCATCACCAGCAGCCTCATCCTCATCAATGCTAAGACCCAGTTTCAACATCCTGTGAATCCTAGCAGCAAATGTGTTTGGATCATCAAGGCTGAAGCCAGAGGTTAGCAGGGCAGTCTCAAACAACAGTAACACGAGGTCCTTGACGGACTTGTCATTCTTGTCAGCCTCGGCCCTCTTCCTCAATTCCTCCATGATACCATTGTCAGGGTTGATCTCCATGGTCTTCTTGCTTGACATGTACGAGCTCATGCTGTTGTCCCTCAACGCCTGAGCCTTCATGATCCTCTCCATGTTAGCTGTCCAGCCATACTCTCCTGTTACCAAACAGCATGGAGAGTCCACAATCCTGTCAGAGACAACCACCTTCTCCACTTTTTCACCCAAAATGTCCTTGATTGTCTTGCAAAGGTTTTCAAAGGACTTCTTTTTCTCCTCCTTTTTCTTTTTCTCTTCCTCAGTCTCATCGTCAAGTTTGAGACCTTCCTTCGTAGCAGAAACCAGCTTCTTTCCATCATATTCCTTCAACTGGCCAACAGCATACTCGTCAATGGCATCAACCATAAACAGCACCTCGTAGCCCCTCTTCTTGAGCTTCTCAAGGAATGGAGAGTTTTCCACTGCCTTCTTGCTTTCTCCTGTAATGTAGTAGATGTCCTTCTGGCCCTCTTTCATTCTGGTGACGTAATCCTTCAAGCTTGTCATCTCATCGCCACTCTTAGTTGAATGGTAACGGAGCAAATCAGCCAGTTTGGCTCTGTTCTGACTATCCTCATGGATACCCAATTTCAAGTTCTTTGAGAAAGCATCATAAAACTTCTGGTAATCCTCCTTGTTCTCTGCAATCTCATTGAACATCTCAATGCACTTCTTCACTAGGTTCTTCCTAATAACCTTGAGGATTTTATTCTGTTGAAGCATCTCACGAGAGATGTTGAGGGGCAAATCATCAGAATCAACGACACCCTTGATAAATCCGAGGTACTCAGGGATAAGCTCCTCACAATTGTCCATGATAAAGACCCTCCTTACGTAAAGCTTGATGTTGTTCATCTTCTTTCTAGTGTCAAACAAATCAAATGGAGCTCTCTTCGGCGCAAAGAGAATAGCCTTGAACTCCAGCTGACCCTCAACAGAGAAGTGCTTAACAGCCAAATGATCTTCCCAATCATTGGTCAAACTCTTGTAGAAGGAAGCATACTCCTCCTTGGTGATCTCTTCCGGCTTGCGCAACCAGATAGGTTTCTGCTTGTTAATGAGCTGCCACTCATGAGAAACCTCCTTAATCTTCTTTTTCTTGGATCTAGTCTCCTTCTCCTCATCTACTTCCTCAATATCACCCTCCTCTTCCTTCTTCGGTTCATCATCCTCATCGTCACTAATCTCCTTCTCAGTCGTCTTCTCGGTCCACAGATAGATAGGATAACTGATGAACTCAGAATGCTTCTTCACAAGATCCTTAATCCTCCTCTCCTCCAAGTACTCAAGCTACAAACAAAATTATTGCAGAAACCAAAAGTCATAACCCATAATCAAATCTAACACGAACAATCCAAGAACAGCATCCACAAACCAAAAAAGTCAAATTAAATTAAACAGGACGCTTTATTTACCTGATCCTCCTTGAGGTAGAGGGTAATCTTAGTACCCCTACCAAGTTGCTCTCCGTTAACATCCCTTGTAACAGTGAAAGATCCACCAGCTTGTGACTCCCAAACATATTGCTCATCATCATTATGCTTAGTAGTCACCACAACCCTCTCAGCAACAAGGTAAGCAGAATAGAATCCCACACCAAATTGTCCAATCATACTAACATCAGCCCCTGCCTGCAATGCCTCCATAAACTCCTTTGTCCCCGACCTCGCAATTGTTCCCAAATTATTCACCAAATCTACAATTCACAAACTCAAAAAAATAAGCATTCCTAAATCATATCAACCACAATCAGCTCTCTCTAATCCCCACCCCGCGCCCCCACCAATACCTTACCAATAAAACACTTACTCACTATTCCACTCGCAATTTTAATAGACTTCCGCTTTTCATCTCATAAGAATCCCGAACCAAAAACATAAAACAAGTAACTTACATCCCAAAACCCAGAATCCTAATCAATAAACAAAAATCGCACTGCCTCGGATGGTAACTTTGAAGATTAAACTTTTGGGTTTGAGAGATAAACACGGAATCAAGAGCAGGAAACAAAATTTTCAGCGATCCAGATGATAAATTTTTAAAGAAAAATGGATTGTAGAGAACATTGATGTACCTGCTTTGGTCATGCCAACACCGCTATCGATGATGGACAAGGTGTTGTTAGTTTTATCAGGAACAAGCCTGATGAACAACTCCGGCTGTGCATCAAGTTTGCTCTTATCGGTCAAGCTCTCAAATCTAATCTTATCCAACGCCTAAACAAATCCCAGGAAACAACCATTAGCACCCTGAAAACATAAGAACCCCGGAAAAACAAGGACTGAAAGAACAGAAGATAACGTACATCAGAAGCATTGCTGATGATTTCACGAAGGAAGATTTCTTTGTTGGAATAGAATGTGTTAATGATCAAGCTCAAGAGCTGGTTGATCTCAGCTTGGAATGCAAATGTCTCTGCTTCTCCCATTTGCACGTCTGCCATCTTTCCCACGCTCAAGCAAGCAAGAAAAGACGATTAAGAGAGCAAAAAACGACGCAGAAGCAACAAAGCTAAAGAGAATTCGATGATGGATTATTTAGGGCTTGTTCTAGACGAGGGAATAAAGTTTGCTTTAGGGTTTTTTTTATAGTGGATGATGGGTTCTAGGTTCTTCTTGAAGCGTGAATCTGTCTAGATTGTTCGGGGAAACGACGACGTAAAGGGGAAGGATGCATGGTTTTCGAGGGAAGTCGAGAAGGTTCTGTTCAGGTTTGCTAAGGGAGACCTGGAGGATTTTTTTTTTTAATTTGTTTTATTTATATAGGGTTGAATTTGATGACAGAGTGGGACCAATTCTCTTGCTTTGAATTGTTTGGTACTTGATGTTTTGAGACTGTTGCATTTTAGTCCGGACATTTTGGGAATTTCAATATATTTCTAATTTGAATTTTTCAATGAGCTGACTTTAATTTTTGAAATAAAAAAAAATGCAACTCAAATTTTTAAAAAGATATGTAATAATAATAATAATAAAAACATAGATAGTATACTATTATTATTGTTATATTTAAATAAAGTTAAAATTAAAAAAAAAATTATTTTGAAAAAATTATCTATATTAAGGTTGTAGTGCAACGAAGATTCGAGTTTTATTGTGCATGTTTGTTATTCTTGTGATATCTTATTTATTTACTCGATTTGCAGAATGTTTAATAAATTATAAAAATTAATCATGTCACGTGTAAGTTGATACAAAATTTCATATAAATCAAAAAAAAAAAGAAGGAAAGACCGAGACATGTGTTTCTATCCCGAGTGCCCCCTCATTGTATTCTGATACTGTTAATTATGGAGACTCTATTTTGCTCGGAGCTTCCTTTTCGTGAATGTCGAGATCTTCGTCTAAGCTTTCTTTCCCTTGAGACTCTTCTCTCTTGACAGCTTTCATTTCGTGTGTGTCGTATATCTCTGAAATATAAAGTTTATTACTAGTTTCTGGGCTAATAATGAAAGTCTCTTGCTGGGAAAAAGGTGTCGAGAGGAGATAGGACAAGTTAGCCCAGGATTTCTCACGTCCCTAATGAACAGGTAGAGAGTCTGGTTCAGCAATAACATTTCAGAGATGTTAGTTACTAATAAATGGTTCATCTTATTGTGTTAATTCTGCCCATCAAGGTTGATTATAACTATTTCCCACTCAATACTCAGGATGTGTTGTGAAAAATCTGTTCTTGGGAGACTCTACTGATCGGGATACTGTCTTGGAGCTGGTTCTTCATCGCCTAACACTTTGGCTGATACGGGATCCTCCTTCTGTCAAATCAGTAAGGCGTCGAGTTTTGTTCATTATATGCTTGCTGGTATATACCTCTGTCTATTTTTGTTTTCCTTTTTTGCCTCCCTTCTCTTTTCTGTATTCTTCTTTTGCTTGCTAATTTAGTCATTATTTTTATGGCACTAGCAAATATTAATAAAATCAGAAATTAACAGTAGCATTTCAGACGTTAAATAGTAAGTATCAAATTATTCATCGCAAACCAGAAAAAAACTTGTTCATTACAAACTCGTAGGGCTGCTCAGCTGAGCCCTGCTAGCTAGGTTCAACTGTTTTCCTAGAAAATTTATTCAAGCATTTAAATAAACTGGAACTGCACCATCTTTAAGGAAGAGAATTGAAACTCCATTCGAATTCAAAACGAATCGTCTCCTTTGGTTCAAGAGTTTGCAATGAATCTAAGAAAGCATCGCATGTAACAACCTTCCGATATCCATTTCTTCCACAACGATCGATCTGGACGCCTTTTAAGTCATGCTGCCAACCATTTAAATGGTTACCTCCACAATAATGTTTATGCTTCACTCTCCGCACTAGTTTCTTGCAAATAATCTTTATGAACTCATCGTTGGTTCCACAGCCTGAAACAAGTAATAAAGATTCTGGACGGCAAATACTAAACAAGACATCAACAAGAGAGTGGCCTTTTTTCTCTATGATATAGGTTTTCAGCTTCAAGTGACTGATACGATGTACAGGATCGGAGACCTCGCTGACTATTTTTTCGATCCCAGAAGAGTAATAACCGAAAATACACAGAGTGACACGCTTGATTTGGTTGAGATTTTTTAGATATTTCCTAAAACTTTCTGTACAACCCTTAAACTTAAATACCTCTAGATTTTTGCAGGAGGTCAGATCAATATGAGTCTTCTCAAAGTAAAATGGAGAATAAGAGAAAGTATGAAGACTAACCACATCAATCTCAATCTTCTCCATAAGCGGAAAAGATTGTCTCTTCACCTTAACCTTCTTGAGTTTTCTTAAACCTGAAAGGTGAAGGTACTGTAGCCCACCGCATTCTACTAGAGCAAATTTCTCGATGAAAGGGCAGGTAAAGACGAGATTGTCAAAAATCCTTTGGTCACAGATTTTAACATGTTTCAGGGAGAGCTCACGAAGAGAAGGCCAATTCAAGGGGCCGTTGAGAATACAACCAGCTAACCTACAAACAATCAATTCTTTGACACACAAGGTGGCTTCGGGTAGTCTATAATAGTCAGGTACACAAAAGTCGATAGAAAGCTCCTTAATACCCTTCTGTGTACCCAGTCGTATACAGCGATTGATATGTTTAGCCAGTTGAGGTTGCAGCGGCTGTTGGAAAGTAAAAAAATAAGTCCTGAAATAACGATCGGTGACAGAAAACTGAAATTTTGGTATGCTTCTGTATTGTCGGCATTGTCGTAGCAAAGAATTGTGGACAAAGGTAGCAAATTCCAAACTCCGATCAGAGTTTTCTGCGAAAAAAGAGGAACTGGAGAACTCAGATATGGGAAAAGAAGTGAAAACCTGATGCCATGTCTTGGACAAGACGCTAAGACGAACCACCTCTGGCGTTGAAAGAAGAGAGAGAATGTGGTGTATGATGTGTTCAGGCAATTGGGATATCCGATCAGCAGCATCCATAGAAATTGTGTTCATATTGATATTAGAGAATTTTAGTTAGTGATGTGAAACGTGAGAATGCTTTAAAAAATAACTCAAACAGTGTCTTTTATATGATTTTAGTCTCCTTTCCGGAGTTAAATTCTTAGGAATCCTTGAGTTGCAAGGATTTTAGTCTCTTTTACAGAGAGGATACCAAAAACTTTTTGGAGATAAAGCCTAGATCTCCTATTAACTGAAAACTAAGCATGTGTTTCAATAAGAGTAAATAATTTATTTAGTCCCTATTTTGTTTAGCAATGTAACAACTTAGCCCCCATAATTTTAGAAATCACAATTTAGTCTCTTGACTTTCTTTTATTTACATAATTAATTAATAAAAAATATCCATTAAATTTTTGAAAAAAATGCCAAGCTGCCATTGGGTTTCTTATGATTATTATATATCCAATAAAGTATTATGGAAGGAAAATAATTAAATTAATGAAAACTCATCACTATGAACGGAAATAAAAACATAGGGACTATTTCATTAAAACAAGGGATTGGATAATTACTCTATGAATAATGGTGACCGCGCGACCTAGAAAACTTTTAAAATACAAAAACTTTATAATAAATTCGTCCTAATCCTATCATGATTTTGTAGTCCTACATGAATAGGATTATTAGGAGAAAAACATAAGCTAAATACAAAAATAGAAAAATCATTTTGTTAAGTTCGGCTTGTTAGTTTTTCTTCTTTTATAAAATAAATCATAATCATAGAAGAACAAGGTTTTATTTTTTTAATAAATTACACTCTAGTGTATTTATTTGTTTTTTCAGTTTATTTTTATTTTTTTAGAAAGTACAATTTATAGGTCAATTTAATTTTTAAATTTAGAAAAACAAAAAATTCTGTCCTCAAATATCACATCACTTCCAAAATTGCAGTCACCAACAACTTAGTAATATCTGAGAAATTCTCAAGGCCAGAAGAAATGACAAGCATCAAAGCAGTCGAATATCTAGCATACAAACTCTTCGTATCTGAAAATTTCTCAAGAAAAGAAGAGATTGAAAATTTTGAATGAGTTCATCAAGGGGAAGGGTCCTTACTTGAACGGCCATTTCTTCGTTGGACTTGAACGCCAACTTTGCACAAGAGGCTGAGACAGCACTATTGTCAAGCAGTGGGAGGAGGGGATTGTGCCTCTACTTTCGGTGTTTTTTTGTATCAGGCATTTTGTCGAAACCTGGGGTGTCTCATGCTGTTCTGTATTTTTACTGCATTTGATGTTATTCTCTTTTTTATCAAGTCGCAGGGAAAATAGTATAAGCCTTGGTTTTTTCAAAGAGGCCTAACGTTTTAGCTCAACCAGTTCCTCAGATTTCAACGTGGTCATCAGTACAATTGATGCTTAATGGATATCATAATTGTCTGACCACATTATACACCACAATCTCTCCACATTATGCTTATTAATGGGCATGGCGTTATGCAGTTTCCTCTTGATTTTTATTCGACTAATTATAGTTTGCCCCAAGCTATCTTCCCTGCCAAGGAATTGGTTGTTTTAAGGATAGCTGGATGTGCTCTCGACACTGCCATAAATTTGCCCTCTTTGAGCGAGTTTTCTCTAAAAGAAGTTTATTTCGATTACCGAAGTATTATTGACAGTCTCATCTTTACCTGCACTTTCATCTATAAATTTTCTCTAATAGCTTGTTTCATCGACACAGACGAGGGTTTGAACTTTGAAGACTGAGAGCTTTAATCTCAATCTTCTCCATAAAATCTTTGAGTTTTGTGAAACCTGAAACTTTTGAGGTAACGTAACGGACAAGTATTAGAGAAATTCTCTTGATCAGAGACCACATAAACTTTGCTCACAAATTTGAACTTCTTTCAGAGAAAGATCATGCAGAGAAGGCCTATTTATGGTACCCTCCAGAACACAACATGATACAAGAAACTAAATTTAACAAGTCCACCAAGCAGTGGCCCTAAAAACAAGAATTACTAACATCTAATTGAACCTCATTTAAGGTGGTTAATCTAGCCTTATGTTTTTGAGCTGTGTGAGGCAACCGGCATAATCAGATGGCATGGCCCTGGAAATGTTATGGCCTGATTTTTGGGGCTTCCAGCTTATCATAACAAGACCAAAAATGATTACAAGATCATTGTAGGCACTGTGGAATTTGCCTTGCAAGGAACTTACGTTGTAAGTACTGGAGATGCGCATTAAGAAATTAACAGTAACATATCACGCTCTCAAGAATAAAATATCAAATTATTAAACAAAAAAATCCCAAACCAGAAAAAAAACTTGTTCAACACATACTCGAAGGTCTGCTGCAGCTGAATCCTGCCTAGAGTCAACTGTTTTCTAAGAAAACTTGTTCAAGGAATTATATATATAAATAAACTGACACTACACCATCTATAATGAAAAAACTTAAATCACCATTCGAATACAAAACGAATCTTCTGCTTCGGTTCCAGAGTTCGGAATGAATCTAAGAAAGCATGACATGTAACAACCTTCTTATATCCATTTCTTCCAAAATGCTCGATCTTGACGCCTTTTAAGTCACGCTGCCAACATTTGACATGGGCAGCTGCAGAATAATTTTTATGTTTCCCTCTGCGCACTAGTTTCTTGCAAAGAATCTTCATGAACTCATCGTTTCCTCCACAGCCAGTCACAAGTAATAAAGATTCAGAACGGCAAATACAAAACAAGTCATCAACAAGAGCGACGTTTACGTTCTCCATGCCGTCTATATAGGTTTTCAGCTTCAAGTGACTGATATCAAGCAAAACAGGATTGGAGACTTTGCTGACTATTTTGTTGATTACAGACGAGGAATAGCTGGTAATACGCAGAGTGACAAGCTTGATGTGGTTGAAACTTTCAATAATTTCCATAAAATCTTCGCGAATACTTTCACGCTGTTGAAAATAGATGAGATCAAGAGATAATTTAAGAGACACTTCTTGTAAACTTGTTTGATTCAAAGAAAACAAAGGCGGGATGTTTTCCATGTAACATTTGAATGACAGTAATCTTGGAGCATTGATGATAGCTTCCTCTGCCGACAAGTCAGGTAAAGAGAGGTTTAATTTTTCAAGCAGGGGGATAGAAATCTCAATCCTCTGAATGTGATGGCGATAACCGTGCAACACCAAAACTTTGAGGGAAGGGAAATTACAATTAAGGCCTTGAATCAGGTCTTCTGTAATCATACCATGCTTGTACTTAAATACCTCTAGATTTTTGCAAGAGGTCAGATCAATATCTGTCTTCTCCTTGTAGCATGCATAATAAGAGAAAGTCTGAAGACTAACCACGTCAATCTCAATCTTCTCCAGAGGCGGAGAGATTTGGCTTTTCACCTTAACTTTCTTGAGTTTTCTTAAACCTGAAAGGTGAAGGTAACTTAACCCCTTACATTCTATTAGAGCCAATTTCTCGATGAAAGGGCAGGTAAAGATGAGATTGTCGATAATACTTTGGTCACAAATTTCAACTTTTTTCAGAGAGAGCACACGCAGAGAAGGCCAATTTATGTTGCCTTTGAGGAGACAACCAGCTAACTTACAAACAACCAATTCTTTGACAGACAACACGGCTTCAGGTAGTCTGTGATATGGAGGCATACAAAAGTAGATAGAAAGCTCCTTAACACCCTTCTGTGTGCTTAGTTCTATACACCGATTGATGAATTTACAATAACGGAAAGGTCTACAAAGATATCTGGTACTGACAGACAACTGAAATCTTGGGATGCTTCTGTATAGTCGGCATTGTCGAAGCAAAGAATTGTAGACAAAGGTACAGAATTCGTAACTCCTGTCAGATTTTTTTGTGAAAAAAGAGGGACAGGAGAACTCAGATATGGGAAAAGAAGTGAAAACCTGATGCCATGGCTTGGACAATACACTAAGACGAACCACTTCTGGTGTTGAAAGAAAAGAGAAAATTCGATGTTTGATGTGGTTAGGCAATTGGGATATCCGATCAGCAGCATCCATAGAACTTGTGTTCATATTGAAATCAGAGAGAATCTGGGTGCTGATCTAAAACGAGAGGCGGCTTTATAAATTAACACAAACAGTTGTGGCAAACCCTAAAAACCCTAAACACAAAGCATGTGTTGAAGTAAGGGTAAATAATTTTTTACGTCCTGTTTATTTGGCAACATAATAACATAGTCCCTGTAGTTTCACAAATCATAACTTAGTCTTTTGATGAAGTCCCTTTAATGTTTATGAATATGAACTCTATATTATTCATCAAACATCCATTATTTTTTTAAAAAAAATTCTCAAACTATCGTTTGGATTTCTTTCAATCTATATATAACCAATAGAGTGTTATTAAAAGAAAATAATTAAATTCATCAATAACATCAAAACTAAGTTAAGCAAAAATAAAATAAAATATAAGGATCATTTTAATAAATACTCTCAGTGACATATAGGGATAACAATAATTGCATAATAATCAAGTTTCTTAATATTTATATCAAATTTAATATTTATAGGGTAAAAAAATTATATATTTATATTTTATTTATTGGATTTCAAATATCTATATAAATATCAATTATTCAAATATTATTTATCATTTAACAAAAACACATATAATATGTGTGTAGCAAGATTGGGTCTGGTTTAAAAATATTTATTTTAGTAAGATAATTATAAAAAATAAAATTACTTCGATTTAAGTAGATATCTATTATGTTTATAGTTATAAATTACCATTCTAGGTGATGGAAATAAAAATCTTCTAAAATAAATGTGGATTTGTAGCGCTACACAAGTAGAATTGTTAGGGAAAAACAAAAATTACTCATAAAAATAAACAAATCAAACAAGAAACAAAAAAAAATACTAAACATACTCCCATAATTGATTGGTATATAATCTTGAATAAATTTATCTAAATATTTTTCTTCATTATAATGATTCCAACCTCATGAAAGTTAATTATAAAATATCTTTATATTCTGCTATATATAATAATTTTTTTATTTTACCAGCCTAGTAAAAATAATAACTCGATAAATATTAATATGAATTTTAACTTGGCTCTTGTTTTATTTCAAATTAATTTAAAAAAATATTTTGTTAAATATTAATATTGATATGAGCTTTAACTTGGATATTGTTTTATTTTAAACTAGTTTTAAAATTTATAAAATGCAACAAACTTAATTAATCTTAAGTCAACTTCAAAGTAAAGAGAGAGATAAACAGAAAAAAATTAAAGAAATATAACAAAAATAGTTTTTTTAAATAAAAACAAAGATAATTCTTATCAATATTTTATGATGTAGAATTTGATTTTCTCTCCTTCAATGCTTGTTTATCTCCCATTATCACCATAAAATTTTAAAAGGCTAAATTATAATTATAAAAAACTAATGAACTAAACTATAAATCATAAACAAATAAAGGACTAAAGAAATAACTCGGTATAAAAAGTCCTCGGTAATAGCTTCCAAGAGGAAAAGAGACGGTTGTAGAAAGTGGCTGGGCTTCAAGTTGGGCATGTTTGCAGGAATTCAGAAAGCGCAATAAAATAGCCTGTTTGGATATGTTGAAGATTGTAGCGTATAATTTGTATTTTTTATTTTAAAATATTTTAAAATAATATTTTTTTATTTAAAAAAATTAATTTTGAAATCAATATATCAAAATAATTAAAAAATATAAATAAATTAATTTCTTATAAATTTTTTGTTTTAAAAAAATTTAAAGAACACGACTCCAATATTTATGAGGCCATTCTTTTGGATCCGAATTCGCTAGTAGATAAGCGGTTTGTTTTTCTTGTCTTTTCGACTGTTAAGATCAGTTCCAGCAATCAAATGGTTGTCTTCCTTTTCAATAATGTCACAAGATTATTGAGGACATTTTCCATGTCAATGGAATTCAATGCAGATCTTATCTTCAAGAACCAAAGACTATCGGTCTGGCCTCCATTGCTAAAGAAATCATCTTACCTGAATCCCTTTGCTCTTGCTTTCAGACTCAGACCCTTTTTTGAAGATTTAATATCCATGGCTCTGGCAGCTGCAACTGGACGCATGTCTTAGATGATGTTTGGATCGAGCGACAGTCAAGCTCAATGGGACTTTTCATTCACACCTCTGAAATCTGGGGCACAAGGAAGTAAGGTCGTTGTTACAACACGTGGCCGAAGCTTAACATCGGTTGTGCAGAGTGTTTCACCTTATCCTTTGAAGTTAGTAAACGACGACGATTGTTGGTCGTTGTTCTTAGAACATGCATTTGTTGGTGAGCCTGCACCTTCCCAGTTTGAAGAAATAGGTTGAAAAATAGTTAGTAGATGCAACGGCTTACCTTCAGCTGCAAGATGGCTTGGATGTCTCCTTAAGTCTAAAAGAGAAGTCGAGGAGATATTGAAGAGCAGTATTTGGAATCTGCGAAGTAGGAACATTCTTCCGGCTCTAAGATTTAGCTATTATCATTGTTTTCTTATCTAAAACAATGTTTTGTTTACTGTGCAGTTTTTACTAAAGGTCATTTGATTGGTAAGGAGGAATGAGGGATTTCTAGTCCATCTTGGTGGAAACAAGGAGATGAAGAAAAAACCAGGGTAGGAGTATTTTCAAGATCTTGTCACAAGATCATTTTTGGAACAGTCAAGTGATCATTGTTCATGCTTCTCCTCACAAATAACTAGGAGAATTTTGTATCCATGGAATTCTCCCTGAATGTGTCGAGAATTAATGTTATGCATACTATTTTGTGTTCTACTAATAGCATATTGGCTGTTGCAATGTATACTTATAGCTGGCGCAGATTTTGGCTATCTAGGAAATGAATATAATCATACGGCATGTCACCGGAAATTTTATGGCAGGATTTTTGGGACATCCGGCTGATCATAACAAGATCACAAATGATTACACGACCTTTGTAGACATTGTAGACTTTGCATTGCTAGGAACTTGTGTTATACTGGAGATGTGCATTCAGAAACTAACAGTAACATATCAGATGGTAAAGGGTAAAATATCAAATTATTAAACATAGGCATCGCAAACCAGAAAAAACTTGTTCAATACAAACTCGAAGGGCTGCTGCAGCAGAGCCCTGGCTAGGTTCAGCTGATTTCTAAGAAAATTTGTCAAAGCAAGTAAACAAAATAAATGCAAAAATTTAAATCACCATTCGAATAAAAAACGAATCTTCTCCTTCGGTTCCAGAGTTCGCAATGAATCTAAGAAAGCTTCACATGTGAGGATCTTGTTATATCCTTTTCTTCCACAATGCTGGATCCTGACGCCTTTTAAGTGATTCTGCCAACAACTTGCATAGGTAGTTGCATTCTCTATTTGCACTAGTTTCTTGCAAAGATTCTTAATGAACTCATCGTTTCTTGCACAGCCAGACACAAGTAATAAAGATTCTGGACGGCAAATACAAAACAAGCCATCAACAAGAGCGTGGCTTTCTTTCTCCCTGGTAAAGGTTTCCAGCTTCAAGTGACAGATATCAAGCAAAACAGGATTGGAGGCAGTACTGCTGACTATTTTGTGGATCACAGAAGAAGAATAAACGCAAATACTCAGAGTTTCAAGCTTGATTTGGTTGAGATTTTTAAGATATTCCCTAAAATCTTCGAGAAAACTTTCACCATGTTTAATATAGTGGAGATCAACAAATAATTCAAGACTAACTTCTTGTAAACTGTTCAAATAAAACAAAGACGGGATTTTGTGCATGACACATTGCAATGACCGTAATCTCGGAGTATTGATGATAGCTTCCACTGCCGATATTTGAGCTACAATGAGGTTTAATTTCTCAAGCAGGGGGATAGAAATTTCAATCCTCTGAAAGTGAAGGCGTTCACCGTGCAACACCAAAACTTTGAGGGCAGGGAAATTACGATTAAGGTATTGAATCATGTCTTCTGTAATGTTATAACCCTTAAACTTAAATACCTCTAAATTTTTGCAAGAGGTCAGATCAATATCTGTCTTCATATAATGGTGTGCAGAATAAGAGAAAGTATGAAGACTAAGCACATTAATCTCGATCTTCTCCATATGCGGATATCCGCTTTTCACCTTAACCTTCTTGAGTTTTCTTAATCCTGAAAGGTGAAGGTACTTCAGCCCAAAACATTGTACTAGAGAAAATTTCTCGATCAAAGGGCAGGTAAAGAAGAGATCGTCGATAATCCTTTGGTCACAAATCTGAACTTCTTTCAGAGAGAGTTCACGCAGAGAAGGCCAATTTATGGCGCCGTCGAAAATACAACCACCTAAACTACAAACAACCAATTCTTTGACAGACAACAGGGCTTCAGGTAGTCTATAATATCGAGGCATACAAAAGTAGATAGAAAGCTCCTTAACACCCTTCCGTGTACCTATTTCTATACACCGACTGATAAGTTTATCAAGTTCACACGGCAACAGGAGATATTTAGAATAAACATAAGGTCTACGACGATCTTGGGTGAAAGAAAACTGAAATTTTGGTATGCTTCTGTATTGACTGCATTGTAGAAGCAAAGATTTGTAGACAAAGACAATAAATTCGAAACTATTATCAGAAATTTTTTCGAAAGATGAACTGCAGAACTCAAACATGGGAAAAGAAGTAAAAACCTGATGCCATGCCTTGGACAAGACACTAAGACGAACCACCTCTGGTGTTGAAAGAAACGAGAGAATATGGTGTATGATGTGGTCAGGCAATTGAGATATCAGATTATCAGTATCCATAAAATTATGTTGATACTGTTTTTAGAAAATTTGGTTGTTCATCTAAAATGTGTGGTTACTTTATAAGATTTTAGTCTTTTTTCTGGAGTCAAATTATCAAGAATCCTTGAGTTTCAAGGATTTTAGTCTCCTGTCTGTGAAGGATACCACAAAAAATTAGGAGACAAAACCTAGACCATAACTAAAAACTAAGCATGTATTTAAATGAGTAAATAATTTTATTTAGTCCCTATTCTTTTAGTAATAAAATAACTTAGCCTCTATACTTTTAGAAATCATAATTTAGTCTTTTTTTTGTTCTTTTTTTTATTTACTTAATTCATCAAAAAAATCATTAATTTTTTGAAAAACAAATGTAAAAAACAATCAATTGGGTTTCTTTTAATTATTATATTGCCAATAAATATAATAAAATTAATCATAACTCATCATTTTAATTAATGATTGCAAATGTCAAACCAAGTTATAAACAAAAACAAAAATATATGTATTATTTCATTAAAACAAGGGATGAAATAATTATTCTATGGATAATAGTAACTAGCCTAAAAACTTTAAAAATACAAAAAGTTACTAAGAAATTATAAATACAACTAAAAGACATTGAGTCAGTTTAATTATTCATATAAATAATAAACCTAGTTAATAAAATTGTTTATTCATTTTATAACAACTTTGTCCCTCAGTTGAATTAGTTAATGTGTGACGCTGATTGATATGAGTTTAAACTTTGGACGAATCAATATTTTTATTTTTGTGATAAAAAACCAATTTATTATCTTTTTTTTCTCTCTCAAAAAAGAAAGGGACAACATAAGCCCGGAGGCCTGCCTCTAGCCTATGCAACTAGTTTTCTTATACCAAGTTTATGACTTATTTTAGTGACCTTTTGGTTTTTTATTGGGCTCTTTTTTATCTTAATTTCATTTTAATATAGGTTTTATTGAATTTTATCATTCAGTATTAGTTTGATTTTGTGAATTGATTTTGATAATTTTTTGTTATCTTTTATATTTTTTATCATATAATAAAACAAAAATTAATTCAGCCTAGTAGAGTCCATAACTCGGGTCATGGGTTTGGTGGGTTCATTACGGTGAACATGATTTTTTTTCTTTTGATTTTTTTCTTTGAACTTACCAAGTCGATAGTCATATCAAGACAATTCCTAACTTAAAATCCAGGCTGATAAAAAAGTAAAATTAGGATTTTTCAAGTTTGACCCGTTGTATCGAATTTAATGAAAATATCAAAAAAATTCTGAAGGTCTAGATATTATTTTTTTACTTTCCAAAAAATCTGGGTCGAACACTTGACAAAAACATAAACGATAAACTAGTACATCCTAATCCTATTGGGATTATTAGTTACATTTCTTTGTTCTGAACCATTCTTTGAATTCAAACTCTTCATTCTTTTTCTTGATTGAATTTCTTTATTCAATATTGAATTGAATTCACAGTTACAAATGAAACGGAAGGACTTTTATTGGAATCCTTATCCCAATTCTCAGTAATAAGAGGGTTACATGAATTGAATTGTTAAGAGAGAAAAAAAAAGATACATATAAAAGTAGAAAAATCAATTCTTTTTAGGCCTTAATCTTAATCATTGTTATTACACTTGACAGGTCAACTCAGGGTTTAAACCAACTGGAATGATAAAAAAATGGTGTTTTTAAGTGTTATCTAGTGCTTTTCATATAGAAAAATTCCATTAACTAACCAAGATGTTTATTGATTGATGTGTTATGTCGTGGTTGTTATCCCATATATGTTGTCGCATTCAGCATCATGCTGACCGTAAGAAACTCAATGAAAAGAATATATTTCTGACATCTTGTTTTTTGGTGGGAAAATGTCTTGTTTAAGAAGCTACCTGGTATTATGATCACTAGGAATCCTAACTAGTCAATATAGATTCTATAGTATGAGACTAATTACATAAAATAAAAGATAGTATCACCCCTTAAGGATCTTGTCTAAGACAGTCTGCATTGCTGATTTTATCTTAAATTGCTAAAAGTTTGGTGGTTTATGCTATAATGATTTGCTTGCAATATTCTTGATTCTAGTGTGAGTAGATATTCAACTACATATACTTTCAACTTTAGTGTTGGTAAATATTACGTAATAAAAAAACATATGATATTCCCCAACTCTAGCATCAACGAATAAACAAGTAAAATAATTTTGAAATCAATGCATGTATTTTTTTATGTTATATCTACCTATCTTGTAAGGGTTGGGTTGGACCCAGCCGGTACAGTTTGGTCACTAGCCCAAGCCTGTGACCCAATAAAGAGGCAGGTGTACATTGTTACGCTTGCCTGCTACATACACAAATAAGTTATAATTCATTACTACCATAGCAAGTGAATTGTAATTCGCTACTACTGTAGCAAGTGAATTGTAATGCAAAGTAAAGGAATAGTGCTGAATGAATTAAGCTATAAAACGGGTAGAGAAGAAAAAGGGATTACCTGGTCTACTAAAGCTTCTTTTCTTCTTCTTCTGGTCTTTCTGCTATTGTGTATTATTTCTATAACTTTGTTTTGTTCTGTCCTTCCCTACTTACTCTCCTCTCTGTTTCATTTTTTTTCCTCTCCTTTGTTTTTTTTTCATTTGTATCTCTTTACTCTCTTAGTTTAGTTTCACCTAGTGTCACTTTGTTTTATCTCCCCTATATTTGTTTGCATCTTATGTGGTCTCTTAGAATGCTCTGTTACTGTTAAAGATGGATCTCTAGAGCTCCTGCAGAAATACAATGTTCTGGACTCACCTTTTCTTTTTACTTTCTGTCTCCCCCTCTCTCTATTGGTTTCTTTCACTTTGATTCTCTGTTTTTGTTGCTTTAGTTCTTTCTTGGGTTCCAACTGCCTTCTTTTTCTGTATATTCTCTATCTATTCTTTCCTTTTTAGCTTACCCCCTTCCCTATATGAGGCCTTTCTCTCGCTTTTATAAAGCTAGAAAAGGTCATGTGTTCATCCCTTCAATAAATATGGCACGTTCCATAAGGGATCGTATGCATCATAGTCCATGACCTGTTGGTTGTGTTTGCTGTTGATTTAATCGTATGCATCATAGTCCATGACCTGTTGCTGTTGATTTGGTCTTCAGGATGAGGAGATGATGAACATTATATGTCGAAAACAACATCAATTTCACCCGAAATAACTATTTTTAACTTGGCCCTTGAATTTTTAACATTTAACAATTAGGTCCTAATTTCATTAATTAAACAATTCAAAGTTCAATTAAGTCCCCAAACTTTCAGTTCTTTCAATTTTTAACCAAATTGACTCTTAAATTTATAATTCAATCCTTATGAGTTTCCAACTTTCAATTTGTGTTGTCTTAACCCAATATTCAATTCATTCATTTTTTATTTCTTATTTTTTAAAAAAAATTCAAAAATTAGGTTATGACATGTGTTATTATTGAAAATATTAGTGTAGAAAATGATATGCTCTCTATAGAAAACATTAATGCACAAGAACATATGTGTGTGCACGAGCTAAAAAAACATGAAAAGTCTATATGCATGACTCTTAGAACTTGAGAAAATAGATAAAAGAATGTGCCAAAGTTGGTAAGGGTATCGAGCATGTTTGAGCTAAAATTCCAACTATTTGGCCATAAGACAAATGGATAAAATTTAGGATGGAAAAGCTAGCCATTAAAGCCTAGCCTAAATGGCTGGTTTATTTCTAGCCTAGACAAACAAGGTGTTTGGAATAAGCTTGAATTTTTAGCATATTGGTACATACAATATATAGGAACCAGCAAGTGGGTTATATGCAACCTTTATGAGGTGCCTATGACCTATTCCTACCTCCAAAGGTTCCTACCCAAGATGCCAACGAGTTTGTCTTGTTGAGATCTTTACGAAAATATTAGTTGTGTCAAAATAAAAGCTTTTATTAATATTTTTGATAAATGTCTTTATAAGAGAAAATAGAGTTTCATTTTTTTGGTTTGTTTAAGTAATCTTGAAAAGTAAGAATAAAAGTTAGAATATACTTTGTACATGCTTTTAGGAGTACATGAACAATCACATAAACTGGAGAATTATCCATGATCCTTTTGGAGATAAGTGGTTCAAAGACTTGAAGAAGGATTCCTAATCTTTTTAGAGATAAATAGTGTAGAGACCTAGAAAATTTTAAATGGAGACATGAATGCCTTGCTATGGAGATTTTATAAAGCTATTTTGTTGGAGACATGGATATTTACATACAAATATGAAAAATCATCATTGTTTTTTATTTGAAAAATTCAAAAGACAATAAAGATATAATTTCTAAAAAATTATCTTATTTCAGATACTGTATAATGAGGATTTCAAGTTTGTTTAATTTGTATTTATTTCTTAAAAAATTATTGAAGATATCATTTAGAGATCAATATTTCTATCTTTTTTCTTAAGTGCATGATACTCCTTAATATCTTGCCCGTGATCATAATGAAAAGGATAGAACTTGTGTACTGTTCCTTGTGCTTGAACCACTTTTCTTAGGAAATGATATTACATGAAGTCTTTCCTCTTAATAACAACCAACATCCCAACAAATATGATGGTGAGATGTGTGCTTTGAAGCTTGAAAAATGCTAGGTGGCAACAAATATGCCCCTTGATGCTTTTTTTATGTTTTAGTGACAGATTACTAGCATTGTGGAGATTTCACCTTTTCAAAATGATAGTGACATGTATAGTTATTATGGATTCCTCTACTCAAATATAATTCTCCATTACATGTTGATAAGTGACATGTATAGTTATTATGGATTCCTCTAATCAAATATAATTCTCCATTACTTCTTCATGTTGATAAAAGTTTTATCATGAAGAGTGTACAAATGCTCCCATAACAAGAAGTTATAGACCCCACTAATTAGGGTTTTAGTGGTGACGGGTTCAAGCTAATTCTCTATACTTAGCATTTTCTTATTAAATCTTTAAAGATATACCTTAGTACTTTTATCCTCTTATTGTGTAA